CATTTTTTTTCTGACCAGCACATTCCTGTGTGAAGCTATTAAACATTCAGCAAGGCACTAAAACAGTCACAGGCGTTTACACTCAGCTGGTTAAACAGCAGCGAGACACTTTTACAGCACGCTCGGCCATTAAAAACTCTTCCCAACAATACATGCTCCCATCACAGAAAGTGCCACATGTGTACAGTTCACATTAAATATTAGAGCAGAGACAATTTTTCAATAAAAAACAATGAATATGCATTACTTAACCATTTGTAAAGCAATAGTCTAAAATAACAAAGATTTAAAATGAGTGTTTACTTTTGGTAAATTACTTGAGTCTGAACCAAGAAGCCAGAAAATAAGAAACAATAAAGACCTGAGAAAGAAAAAGAAAATTAAAGATTATAAGGGAAGTACCAGCTTAGAAGAAACATCCCATAAAAATGTTTACCTGACTGAACACATCTGCTTATTATCTGCTCAAATATTTGAACACAGACGTGTCCTCTGGTGAAGATGTTAACGTCTCGTAATTCTAAAGTAAAGCAGTTCTTGTTGTGCTAGAATCATTTATGTGGGTCTGATATGAATGGAATAATTTAGTGATGGAGGGAACACTCAGAGACATGAAACTGTATGACATGGCTCTTCACTTCGCCTTAATGAAACCTTTCATTTGAACTAATGAACCCCCATCACTCCAGTCCTCTGTCCCTGTCCACCTCATCGCTCCATCTTCCTCTCTCATCCTCCTCTCACGCCCCTCTCCACTGTGATGCTCGGCAGCAAGGAGGAAATTAACATGTTCTTTCGTCGCTTTCACGATCAAGTCTCTCCTTCCTCTTACTTCCCAGAGCAAATGGTCATGCATTAAGTCTCTGGTGAGATGATTAACAATGGTCACACACTGAAAATGTGTACAAATGGGGGTCTGACTCACACTCTGGTTGACTAAATCTGTGGATTTCCTTTCTAATCAATCACCGATTTCGTTAAGAAAAAATAAAATTAGCTCCCAAAAATCTTTGGATACAGCCAGGGGCGATTCTAGAAAATGCCCTTTCGGGGTGCTTAGCCCCCAGTGTGTGACAATGGCTCTTGGCTTGAACAGTGCAGTGGCCACTGGCATCAGAAGTGTTTGTAAAGTGGGGCGGATACACTGGTGGGAGTGTCTGGGGGTCCTCCCCCATAAAATTTTTAATAAAGTACATGCCATTTCCTGCATTCTAATAGGTTGTTAAGCATCAATGTTTACCTACATAAGTAAACACTTGATTTAATAACTATTTTAGAGCATTGCACAACAAGAAGTAGCGCTAAGCTAGCATCGCACAATACAGATGTGCTAGCTAAGATGCTACAGATGTAGCGCTCTGCTTTACATTACACAACCTAATAAACACTTTGTACACAATCAGCTTAGTTTGAACTGATCATAACAAACAAAGAGTACATTTAAGCAACCAGAAGTTACAATATAGACATGTATCTACATTTAAAACACACAAAACAAAACACAACTAGCTTTAAGCATTAACTTTTAATTTAACTATCAAGCATACAATGTACTGGTAATTAGAAAATGGAGGATTTACCTACAGTTACCTTCGTAGAGATGAACATGTTACTTCCTGTTGCATTCAGCTTGTCACGAGGTCGTCTACGTTTTTCCAGACTCTGTTTAGTTTTGGAAATAGAACTGTATTCCACCCTCTAAACCCTCAGGGTGACGCTGTCTGAATTACATGTTCTTCACTGACAATGTTTAACAATTTTTTGATGACTTTTCATGAAATCTCTCTGACTGCAAAGTGTTCGGAATGCAGAACCCTGACTTCAGTGTTGTTGGTGGAAAATGGGGTGGAGCTTCTGCAGGTAAGGGGGCGTTCACTTCAGGACAAATTGAGATCATGGATTGGTCAGTTGCTGATGAGCCTGCTGGATTGATTGACAGGTGGTGTAGAGGATCCAATGGCGCCAAAGAAAAAAATTCATAGATTTTACTGGCCCGTTTAAGACTGTCATCATTTATTTCATATTTATTCAATATTTTGGTGAATAAGTTTTGAGAACTAAGCTTCCTTACAAAGTCCTAATGATGGTTTCTTTTATTTTTCAGGGGTACTGAGTTAAAACTGAGGGGTGCTTGAGCACCCCTAAGAGGCTAAAATCACCAGATAGAGCAAACATTTTTATAAATACACATATGGGCCTCAAAATGCCGTTATGCACTTTAAGATAATATTTCTCACTGAACATATAATGCTAAATGTGCCATAGTTTTTAAATTTTCATCAATGTCTTCAGTATTTTTTTTATGTTTTCTTCACAAATGCACGTGGATTCTCCAAACAGTATGCTCACAATGTGCGGCGTTACAAACCACGTCTAGAAAAACTAAACCTGATTACCGTGAGAGAAGTGTGGACTCATGTTTTGGGACTGTGTCGCTGTTTGCATTCCTGACAGAGAGAGGAGGCTGCAGTCTGGCGCCTGCCTCCTTCGTCCAGTAATATAACTTCAAGGACATCACAAATGGAGGGAGGCAGCGTCATGTATCACTACAACGACCACCACATCATGTCATCGTGGCTTTGTGATCATTTAAATTAAACTGTTATTTACCATAGGATGGCTTATTGTTGAGCAAACATATATTTACAGGTGATTATTCTCAATATCAAATGATCATCAACAAATGTAAAGTTTAGTGTGCTCAGCTGGTATTCAATCTAAAAATCACTTTGTTCTTGTCAGTGTCAACAAGTTGGATGGTGATGTATTAAAGTTGGACACATAAACATCTATAAAAGTGTGATTTATTTATGTTTTTGTTTTAATTTACTTGCACATTGAACCTAAATGAAGCTACTCTGGTGTAAAGTGGTGTGATTTACAGTCAGAGGGAGTTAATGCAGCTGCTGAAAAACTAATAATTAAAATTTATTAGGACATCATGTTGGTATTGATTTAGATAGGAAACACATCTGTTTCAACTGTTTGTTGCTAAATCCTTATTAAGTCAAATGTATGTACTGATCAGTCTTTTCAATGGTTTTAAACTTTTCCAGTTTTCATTAGCTGATACTGTAAGAAGACTGACATCTACTTCTTCGGATGTTATCAGTCCATTAAATGGCTGTTATTAGTTGTTATCATCCCCATATGGAGCGGTGAAACAGTCCCACCTACCTCCTAGTAGGTTTAAAGGTACTTTATAATCGTTATTATTGCTGATAATAGGCAGCGTCACATGGGGGTAAACCAGGAAATGTTTTTTTTCTGCTTATGTAGTCCTAAACCTAACCAAGACCCTAAACCTAACCAAGCCCCTAAACCTAACCAATACTCTAAACCTAACCAAGACTCTAAACCTAACCAAGACTCTAAACCTAACCAATACTCTAAACCTAACCAAGACTCTAAACCTAACCAATACTCTAAACCTAACCAAGACTCTAAACCTAACCAAGACCCTAAACCTAACCAATACTCTAAACCTAACCAATACTTTAAACCTAACCAAGACCCTAAACCTAACCAAGACTCTAAACCTAACCAAGACCCTAAACCTAACCAAGACTCTAAACCTAACCAAGACCCTAAACCTAACCAAGACTCTAAACCTAACCAAGACCCTAAACCTAACCAAGACTCTAAACCTAACCAAGACCCTAAACCTAACCAAGACTCTAAAACCTAACCAAGACTCTAAACCTAACCAAGACTCTAAACCTAACCAAGACTCTAAACCTAACCAAGACTCTAAACCTAACCAAGACTCTAAACCTAACTGCATGAAGCTATTATGAGCAGTAACAAAGCTAAAAACAGAGCCTATTATCATCGCTAAGAACGTACCTTTCAACCCACTAGGAGGTACAGGAGGGGCAGTCTGATTGCTACATATGGAGATGATAACAACTAATAACGGCCATTTAATGGCTGATAACATTCGAAGCAGGTGCAATCTGAGCCAAGTTTAAAATCCACTGATGTGTCCAGATGTTTTAGGTTAAAGGTGTTCAATGAAAAACATGAAATTAGACATTGAAACAGCTATAAAAACAATATTTTTTAGAGAATTTACTCCAGCAGTTTTCCATATGTGTCATGCAATTCTGAAATGCTGGTGTGCATTCAATATATACAAAGCAGCTTTATCTGCATACAACAATCTGAGTGCAAACACCTACAGATATCATAATTTGTTGGACTTCTTCATCCTAAATGTCTTTCCATGAACTTCACCACCGTTGACATATTTTCAGTCACTTTGGCTGTTTCCATGGGTAAACAAGGCAGTCAGTCATAAATTCATCAAACTTTTTATTTAAGGACATATACCAATATGAGAATATTCTAACTACAAACTCATATTGTGGTTTGGTCAAAGAACACCTGTCTCTAATCAATATTTAACTACTCTTAAGCCTAATATCATTTTTGTTATTTTAAATAATTTCTCCATTATGACTGGAGGAAACATATACATCACATGTTGAGCACATCACGTGTTGATATTTGGAGAGATGATTCTGTGTAAAATCTGCCTGATGTAAACAGACCGACCAAACATTTTTTTTAATGACTGAGTTATTCTAGAAACAAGAAGCGCATCATCACTGTCACCAGACGAGCAGCCGGCTCATGTGGGCGTCATCTTTGTCTGTTGCTTCTAAATTTTGACAAGACGGAGTGAATATGTCGTAGTTCTCCTCCTTCCAGTCCCGTTTCCTCCCTTTCAGCCGGCTGAGGAAGCAGTAGGCAGAGTGCGAGGCGCGCGCAGCGTGCATTTTGGAGACGTCTTGGAAGGTTTACGCATGACGCAACGACAAGGCTGAAAACCTCCCCTCAGACAGACGGGACAGCTCCAAGCCGAACTGGATTCCTGCTCAGTTTCTGATTTAGGATCCACTCCATCACAGACCCTCCTAAAACATCTGAACTTCTTTTTATACCCCCCCCCCCCCCTTTTTTTTCCCGGATCCTGTTCTGGATCTCCGGGTTACTGTCGGAGAGGAGTGGAAAGAGCAACAGTGTGTGGGTTTTTTTTTTTTTTTTTTTTAAAGAGATCACAGAAAAGAGGGGATGATCCCGCCAGCTAACGCAGTTCAGGAGGACAGTGGAGACAAAGAGGACGAACGGGACCAGGATGAGACACCCAAATCCCCCACGACGAGCAGCAGCCAAGAAACCAAGGTCTGCCCCTAAAATTACTGTTTCTTATCCACCTTACAGATTTTACTGTAGCACCCTGAAGCTTATAGAAGCGGAGGAGGGTAAAGAAACTTCTGTCTGGTGTTAAACTCTCACAGCAGACTCTTAAACTAATGGAGTTTGGAAAGAGAGCATCAACAGTTTGAGCCTGATTTATTCCATGAAGGATGTAAACGGATGGGACAGGAAGCTCCTTCAGGTGAAATAAAAGCATATTGAAAAGTACAAACCTATACTTGTTAATACAGATAAATATAGTCACCTTTTACACAGACAAGTTGTCTCAGTCTTATACATTGGCTTCATGTGGATCAACAAGTTTAGCATCATAATTAAAACATTTATGGCAAATGCTCCTAATCAAATGATTTTTTAAAACTAGTTTCTGCTTGTGGCTGATGGAGCAGAGGTTCACAGCTGCAGGCGTTGTCTATGTGGGTCACTTGTTGGCAGCCTGCTACAATTAGCAGGACATTATTGGACTGTTGTCATCAGTGTGGTGCTGCAGGCTCGTCTTCTCTCCTGTCCACAAAGCTCCCAGGACCCCTGTGAAAGGCAGGAGCTGAGACTTTAATCACTTATAGGTCAGTTTTCTCAGATTTCTCCACTGACCCTGGCTGCTTTGACTCCTGGTTGGTTTTGTAAGTCATTTCAAAGCGTGAATTAAAAGGCGCCACGTGATAAAACGTAGGAATGAAAAAGTGGTAGGAGGTTTTGTTTTTGTAGACGTGAGTTCCTCGCTCGCAGTTTACAGCTGTCACAGTAAAGCTGTCTGTGTTTTTATTCCTCCTTTTAAGAGTACTGTGAGACCTGAGCATCACAAACGCAAGGTGAGCCTCCACTTTTACGTAAGCTGTAGCAAACCACTGATATAAGCCCATTACCATAAAAGCCTACCTGCATGTACATGTTTATAAAAAGCTGCTTCACCTTATGAACATCACAGCTCTTACTGCTTTTAAAGGACGGATCACTCCGAGAGGCCAAATTAAATCCATCGTTGTTCATTTGTTTAGAGAGCACCTCTTGTTCTGCATGAGCAGTTTGTTTGTTTAAATGACTGGATTTGGTCTCCAAGTAGCTGCTGCTGTTTCTTTAGCTGCTCACCACCCGACCCCCCCATTAACCCACCTCGCTTTATAAATAGGTCCTATATATTTGTTGTCATGAAACAGCATGAGCTGCATGGACACATCCCTCACTGTTTTATTTATTTATTTATTTATTACAATAACACAGGAAATAAAAAAGTATAATCTTTTACAGTTTATTGAATTAAGGATAGCACTTGTGAAAATGACAGAAATACTTTGGGAACCCCACAACCAGAAAGGTCGGGGAAATTAGGATTTCTTTGACAGACACAAAAGTAAAGAACTTTTTTTTTTTTCCACTATTAAACTCTGTTGTACTTAAAAGACAAATCTAACGTTTGATTTGATTTTAAACAAGTGAAGAAACTTAAAAAAAGGAAGAAATGTATCTTAAGTATTACCTTTCCTTTTATTTTTGTAACTTCCATCCATCATCTTTATCTTCTTCTTCCTTTACGGATCATGTGGTCACAGGTGCTCATGTCCAGCCATCACTGTGTGAGAGGCGGGGGACACCTGGACAGGTCTCCAGTCCATCACAGGGACACATTGAGACAAACGAGACAATCAACCATTCACTCAGAGTCACCAGTCAGTCTATCATGCATGTTTTTGGTCTGTGGGAGGAAACCGGAGTACCTGGACAAAACCCACTCATGCACAGAGAGAACATGCAGACTCCACCCAGAAAGGCCCATGGCCGGGATTCAATCTGGCAACCTTTTTGCTGAGAGGCAACATACTTACCAACTTGTCCCCCTTGTCCATGTTTGTAGTAATCAGTTTATCAAGATAAATGCACTTCCATGTAAAACTCAGCTGTTCAACCGTCTATTTGATTCTCTTCATGATGCTGATTTTATTTTCAGCAGGAGACAGATCTGGACTGCAGACAGGCCGGTTCAGGACGCAGGTTGTTCTCCTTAAAACTGCTGCAGACTGAGGTCTGGTTTTAAAGAAACAACCAGAATGAGTCCAGGAAAGGACGCTGGTTAATATGTGTCTCTAAAACTCCAGTATTCACTCCTGCATCAGTAAAACCTTCACATAGATGCAAATCAGCCACACTTAAGGCACTGATGCATCAGATGCCGGCTTTTGCACCTTTTACTAATTACGGCCTGAATGTTTTTTCTTGTCTGTGCAGTATATGAGCACCATGAATCAGAATAAAACACGTCGTCTCACAACATATCGTCTTTCAGTTTATGTAAGATGAGCATGTGTCCGTTTAACTTGGAGTTCTTAAATGAAAACAAAGTTTGTTGGCATGTGGGTTCCTGGTGACTGAATGCATGACAGTACTGCATGTTGAATGGAACCAGTTTAGGAGAAGCCCAGACAGCATCTTTATCAGGAGTCTGGTCCGCCTCAGCTGACTGTTTTTGATGTGGAGGAGCAGCTCCACTGAGTCCATTCTATCTTACAGTACACTCAGCCTTGATGGATCTCCTTGCAGTTGGAGGGTCCACATGGAGGTGTCTTCCTGTTGTTTTGAACCCCAGGAGCCATAGATTGAACACCAAGCACTTGCTGGAGAGTCAAACCTCACCTCAGGCCTGGCTCCAGGAGGGTGCTCTGGTGTCCCTGTCCTGGGCGAGGTGACCTGTGGTCTTTCATCCTAAGATCTTCGAACTGATCTTAGTTTGACATTATGGTAGTTACTCTGGGGAGGAGATATGCAGTACGTTAAAACACTGAAGTTATTTCTAATTTTTTCTGAGAAATCTTCTTCTTTTGGCTTTTCCCTTTTCAGGGGTCTCCACAGTGAGTCATCCTCCTCCATCCCTGTCCTCTGCGTCCTCTGTCCACACTCCAACTACCACCATGTCCTCTCTAACTGCATCCATTTATCTCTTTTGTCTTTTTTCCTGGCAGCTGCATTTCTAGCATCCTTCTACCAATATACCCACTGTCCATCCTCTGGACATGTCCAAACCACTGTCCCTCCTCTGGACATGTCCAAACCATCTCCGTCTGGTCTCTCTAACTTTATCTCCCAGTTGTTCAACCTGTGCTGTACCTCTGATGATCTCATTCCTAATCTTATTCATCCTTGTCTCTCCTAAGGAGAACCTGAACATCTTAATTTCTGCCACTTCCAGTTCTGTCTCCTGTCTTTTTGTCCATGTCTCTGTCTCCAGACCAAACAACACAGCTGGTCTCACCACTGTCTTATAAACTTTGCTTTGATGAACTCACATTATAGTTTTGGCAGAAGTGTTTTACGTCGGATGCCCTTCCTGACACAACCCTCACCCGGGTTTGGGACCTGCACAAGAGACACACTGGCTTGTGGCTGGTTTATTTGGTTCTGAGAAACAGTTTTCTTTATTTAATGTGTTCTGACAAAATGCGGCTCAAGTTTATGAACCATCACCCATCTCATTTTGGAAGGACTAAACCTTTGATGATCCAACCCTGTGGTCCTCACCTATCACCAATTACTGCTGATTGTATCTTCCGTGTTTATTCTATGAAATTATTTGATAGACTAACTCTTCTTTGCATGTGCTGCTGGCATCAAAATCTAGATTTGCTTCAATTTTCCAAATACTAGTTAGCCTGTAAATTCACACAAAAATGTATTTTTACTTTAGAAGAAGAGTGAAACAAATGATGAATTAAAGTTTGGCATTGAAAACATTCCAGCTTATCTGAAAATGAGGTTTATATTTAGAGTCCAGCTCATTTTTGCCTCAGCACCATGTATAAAATCCATGCACCAATCAGTTGCAAGAGGAGGTATTTGTGTTGTGTGTTTGTCTGCAAAAGTGTGTGTGTGTGCGTGCATGCCCATGTGAGTGGGTGGTAATGGCAGAGAAAGGCTCTAAATTGATTGTTTCCAGAGTGACCTGCAGGATTGATTCACTATGCAACAGCTGCAGTGACTCCAAGCAATTTGCTCAGGCATGTTCAGAAAAATGACAAGCGCAAACCACATCAGAACAATGCTTTATTTAATGCCACAGAGCTGCAGTTTGTGGCTAGGATTACAGTGTTTTTTTACTTTTTGCAAACACAAACAAGTGAAAGTACATTTACAGGCTATTAACGCATTTAGGACTAAAAAGAGAAGTCTATTTGTAAGGACGTTAGTAGTCCGAGTCTTCAGTCAGTTGCTAACCATGTACCAGATTCATAAAATCACTGCCGTTGCTTCTTTTTGATGCTTTTGAACCCTGGTGGCTCACACAGGAATGAATGCACATGCAGAGAGATTAAATGAGGAGTTTAAAAGGTGCGGCATTGTCAGTAGTAAAAATGCCTGTACTCTGGGCATGAAGTCGTTTAAATGAAATGCAGGAAATCGTTTTACTTTCCAGGTAGGAAATGCTGAATTTTCCAGCTGAGCAGTAATAAGATGGCCCCACTAGCAGTCCTATTATTGTCCATTGGACCCTGAGACACTGGAAAGTCTTAGAGAGCTCATTTAATATTACTGAGGTTATCATACAAATTGATCCACTTCAAATTTGACCTGGCCTAATATATCCATTTGTCTCTTCTCCTCCTGTTTGCAGCTGCAGAGACTCAAACGCTCCTTGTCCTTCAAGACCAAGAGCATCCGCAGCAAGAGCGCCGACAACTTCTTCCGAAACAGCAGCGAGAACAAGACGGAGCTCCTCTCCGATGTGAGCAGCAGCACGGGCCATCTCTGCAACATCGGGATGGCCCCGCCGCACACCACCAGTCTCCCCATCCCTCCAGTGCCTCCAGCCATTCCTTGTGCACCCCCTCCCACGTCGCGTGCCCAGCCACGCAACCCACTGCAGGTAGACTCGGCGGGACACTGCTTCATGGAGCACATCTTCAAGAAGCCTACGTTCTGCGACGTCTGCAACCACATGATTGTAGGTATGGTTCGAGCACTCTGTTATGACTTAATGCACTCCTGCACATCATGCAGCAACTTCTTCACCGTTCTCAAACTGTCTGGATGATAAGCGTTCATTAGTGCATACCTGGAAACAACAGCACAGGACTTCAAGTGACTCTTCGCATGTTCAAAACGTCTCATTAGCTGTCCGGTAGAAGAGTGGCAAATAGATGCAAAGCACAGAAATGAATGTTCCAGCTCCTCTCTAACTAGTCTTCTGCTCCAGGTGCTCCAGGTTCTCTGTCTGCAGACCTTCTTACTAACCAGGAGTGTTTTAGGATCGCTGTGTGTAATATGGTGCTGTCAAAATCAGACCCAGCACCCCACAGTCAGACTCGGGGAGACAGTGGTGGAGTTGAAGGTAACTGAACAAACAATGTGATTACAAAGCTGGAAGTGCTACTGGTTTATGGAGGTACGCTGGTGAAGCACAGTAGATCATTAACAGGCTTCTCCTCAAATTGACGACATTCTGAGAAGCTTTTAAGCATTTGGATTCAGGAAACTTCTGAAACTGGCTGAACATTCTGCTGTCAAGGACAAGAACCAGGCAACAGGTTGGTTAAAACCAAACTGTGCAGTATACACAAAAAACACACCCAAAACATAGATAACTATAAAAGTCACATTTCATTCCCCTCAGCCTTTATTTTATTTGTTTGTATCTATTATTTTTGTTTGTTTTTAAGCTACAGTTTTGGGAGTGTAGCAACCCAGGAGAGACACCATCAACTACCGTATTTTTCGCTGTATATGTCACACCTTTGTGCATAAATTTGCAAGTTCTGCAACTTATACACCGAAGCAACTAAGATACGTTTCTTTCCCCATATTTATAATTCAATTTTTGCCTGAAATCTGACGATTTCATTCACGATGACATGAAAAATATTGAACACTACCATTTTCAGCCACTAGAGGGCTCTCGAGCATTATGGAAAGCCAAGTGTCTCATTAATAGGTAAACGTGGATATTAATGAGACACTTGGCTTGCCATACCAAGCCACCTTCGTCTCGCTCTGGACCTCCTGGAGCAAACATCAAATCAGCTTCATTTCACCGCGCCGCCCAGGAGAAATGCAGCTGATATGACCGTCAAAGTGCATTTGGGGAGTGGTGGCGCAGAGGTTAGAGAAGGTGGGCCTGTGATCGGAAGATCACTGGTTCACGCCCCGGTACAGACAACATCAAAAATGTGGGTGGGGTAGGTGAAGCACCCACAGTTGCCTCCACCCTCATTCGCCCCACTCTGGGCCCATGAGCAAAGCCCTTAACTCCCATCTACTCCCTAAACAGGTCTCTCTTGAAAATGAGTTCTCGTGGCTCAATGAGACTTCCTGTATAAATAAAGGATAAATGAAAAAATAAATAAATTAAGGAAAAGTTCAACTGAGACACACCTTTACTATAATGTCGAGCAAACAAATAATTGTTTTTAAGTGTTAATCTTGTTAAATTCTTGTTAAAGTCCTCTCGTGCACGCTCCTGTGGCTGCCAATCGATTTTTGGCACAACACCGGCCCATGTTTCCTGTTGGTCAGCGGTGACACCTGACAAACATGATGCGTCAGATGCGACTTATTTATATATTTTTTCCACTTTATTAGACATTTTTGGACTGATGCGACTTATACGGCGGTGTGACGTGTATGGCAGCAAGTACGGTAAATTCCCATGAACCCAGACAATGTGGCACCTTCACACATGGTGTGTGGAAGCTTGCAGAGTGTGGACGTGTTTATTTGAGCTCAAGAACTTAATCACACTAAAATAATATTAATTATAAACAAATGTCAACCTTTATGTATCTTTTTTTTATTTGCTGGCTTTTCAGTATAAGGAGAACAATGGACGTTTTAGTTTCTACCTCTTGCCTGTTTAATCACTGAGGTGTCACAAGTCTGAACCAATCTAATGAAACAAGCCAATTAACAGCATTTTACTTCCTGTCTCTAAGTATCCACAGAAACAAACCCAGAGTCGAAGGTTTGTCTTAGTAGCTGATCTGAAAGGTACGAAACACGAGGCGCTCGTTAACGAACCAGATTGCTTGATCTGAATTAAACCTAAGAGTTGATGTGCACGTTGCTTCAGTGCCTCGGAGGTTGTTGTGGTGATCTGTGTTTGACCAGTGATCCCAGCTTTCGGCCAGTTCCTGCGTCCACCAACCATCAGTTTCAGGTTCTACTCACTTTCCCTGCTTTTTCCCAGTGAAGCCGATCAATAGTCCCTTCCCAGCGCTACATTTTCACGCATGCATGGAGAGTGTGCACGCCTGATCAGGGCACACGCCCATGGATTACCAGACTACAACTAATACCACACTGGGACAAGTTTAAATAGCTCTAAAAGACGCGGCTGCTTCTTGGGAATACTGTGGCTAATGATGGAAAGTTGATCTGTCGACTTCTTTCTGTGTGTTCTCTGTTCCCGTCACCAGTCCACAAAATATGTTTTCCCAGCAGCCCTCTTGTCCATTTAATTTGGCAACCTGCACCCAGAACCAGGTGCTAAAATGTCCATTAGACAACTTGCCTGACTGAACCTCCTTCATTACATCAGTGTATTCTTCTCTGATCTTTAGCTGCATTGGTTCTGGCTTCACAGCAGCCTGGTGGTCCTGAGTCAGGACTGACCTCCAGGAATCAAGTCTCCTGCTGCCGTGTGTGCTCCATTAAAACAAGACTTCACCGAGAACTGAACTGTGTCCTCATAGTGGGAATGTGGAGTCACTGGTGTTTTATAATTTATAGATACTTTGTACGTTTTTGTTTTGAACAGACTACTTTTGCATCCTTTGCATACTTGTACATAAAAACTATCCTAAAGATGTACTGAGATCTTTTCAAGTCCTTCAAAAACTGGTTTGCTTTGAAATCTACTCCAACAAACCTGCTCTATTCATGTTATGCTAGTTTTAGCTTTTAGCTATTCTTTTACTATTTCAGCTTTGGTTCTGCATCTTTTAGCTTTTAGCTACCTTTGGGCTTATAGCAGCAGTTTAGGTGCATTTAGCATTTAGTTTGCTTTAAGTTAGCTTTTTTACCATTTTGTTACTATTCTGCGAAATGTTGCTTTTTGTTACCATTTTGTTACGTTTAGCATTCATTTTAGTTTTACAACTCTTAGCTTTTAGTTACCGTATTTAGCTACAATTCTACTGTTTTAGCCACAACTTTTAGCTACATGCTCTGCTGTTTTAGTTACAGCTTTGCTACCTTTAGATTTAGTTACCATTCTGGTAATTTTAGCTTCTATCTACTATTTTGTTGCTTTTAGCTAAGGTTGTCCTAATTTTAGTCTCTAGCCCCAGTTTATCAACGTTTAGCTTTTTGCAAAGTGCTTATTTGAGCTTTTATGCACCATTGTGCTAATTTTAGCTTTGAGCTATGTGGCTTTTAGCTGTGGTTTTGTTAAATTTAACTTTTAGTCCCTGTTTTTCTTATTTTAGGCTTCAGCTTCTATGTTCATAATTTAGCCCCTATGTAGCTAATTTAAGCATTTATAGCTACAGTTTTGGTCACTTAAACATTTAGATTCGTTCTTGCCAATCATTGTTCTGCTCTGCTAGTTTTACCAACTCAGTTTTAGCCTCTTCAAGAAATTCCAGCAGAGATTTAGCTCTCAGCGTTCACACTTGTTTTTGCAGAGAAGTCTCTGTCTCGTCCTCTGGCCTGTGTGCACATTTACACACAGACACACACAAAGCTGGTGTTCAGCACAACACTGGCTCACAAATTAGTACGATTAATCTTCATTCATTTCTTCTAATGTGAGTCATTTATTAATAAGAGAGAATGAGCGTCACTCTGACAGCAGAGATGAAGCATCAGCTCAGCCACCATCTATTAAATGGTTTCATATATTATGACTTGATTTAGTCTAATTTGCCCTCGTTAATATGCTCCACGTATCTTTCACAGTTTCTTGGCCGTACATCCTGAAAACTGTTAGAAAAAGGTCTTGCTGGGGAAGAAGTGCAGCCTTAATGATTCCAGGAATGACACAGCACTGGGATAAATGCTTTCCATTTCCTCTGCCTTTTTGCTTGTGGTTTGCTGATTAGCGCCAATTAGACCACAGCCTCCGACACGAAGGATCTGATCTGGTTTTCCCCTCTCCTTTTTGTTCCCTCACCCCCTGTTTGTTTATCAGGCACGACAGCCAAGCACGTGGTGTTCCTGGCGGGAAACACGGCGAAGCACGGCCTACGCTGCAAAGCCTGCAAGATGAGCCTGCACCACAAGTGTGAGAACGGCGTCGGGCAGCAGCGCTGCATGGGAAAACTGGTGAGACGCATGACACACGGGACACGATACAGACAGCCGAATGTGCACTTTTAGCTGTTTGGGAGACTCGGGGGTTCAGTCATCAGCGTCGCTATGGCAACAAATTAAACAGACACATGAAAATGTCAAAACAGGCTCTTTGACCGTCTCTCAACAGAATGTGCTTATTCAGAAATCACACTCTCATGTGTCAGCGTGCCAGCGCATCTGCGACCAACAGCAATCCTCGTCATCCTCTTCATCACCGTTATATCATCACCTCTTCGGTGTTAGATAATAATTCTGGTTTAAAAACACCGAGCGCCTCTCTTACTCAGTCAGGTTCCCCTGGTGTTAGCTTCAGGGTAAACCTTAAAATGAGAGAAATCAAATTAAATCACTCTAAAATCCAAAGGTGAAGACAGGAGACCCGTGTTTTTGTCCCAACGAATAAAAAAAAAAAAAACACACAAACGCAGATATAATTCTACAGTTCACCTAATTTTACAGATATTTACCTAAAATTCAGTGTTTTGGTAGCCCAAAACATATTCTGCGCTCTAAAAGTTTGTGCAAGCCTTTAAGCTAAAAAAAAAAAAAAAAAATTAACTATTAGAGTCAACGTTGCCTGTGTCTGTTAGCAAAAAATCTCACAAACCACTGGATAGGCTTTCATGCATCTTTCAAGGACTAATCATTGGATGGTGCAGCTACAACTCATTAACTTTTGGAGCCAATACAATTGATTATTGTTTAGTGTCCATCCAATTCAAGATGGCTGCTACAGCTAATCAACAGTGGCTAACACAACAAAGGCCATAGCTCAGTCAGCTTTACAGGTATTGAGCTACAATTTGATTTGGTAGTAGCTGAGAGTGATTCTTAACACACACTCTGAGCTGACATGTCACATTTATAGCCAAAATGGCTATAATCTCATTATTTCTCCACATTAGGCGATTTTTTTTTTAACTCAAAAGGCATTCCTTTATGTAATTCCTTGTAGGGTTGCATGATGTAGAAGTTTGCAGTAGCTTCAAGTGAGTTTTACAGCTGATCCTCTACTTTCTGGCAAAACTGATTAGGATCGCATGTTTCATGTCCTTGTGTTTGTAGCTAGCAAACTTAAAACGAGACCCTTCGACTGCGGAGCACGCTTGTCTGGGTGGTCCAGGTGTTTTCAGAGAGGAGGATTTTGTCCCACTGCTGCAAGCCAAGAAGCATTTCTCACTGTCATCGTGGTCCAGCAGACAAAAGTCAACCGGGACGCAGAGCTTTGGATTGACACCGGTTCTGATTACCTCCCTCTTTTTGGTGTTTTCCGTTGAGGGAATGCACCTGGAGCCATGAGGACAGTCGACACGAGCAAGAAAACAAACGCTGCGTGGAAGCTACAAAACGGTCTGTTTTCTTTTTCCATCTTTCCACGAGAAGCTTTAGGGATGAGGCTTGAAGATGTGACTGGCTCTCAGGAGTGGAAAATGAAGTTGAGAGTTCAACCCAAAAGAAAAAAAAAAGGAGTTTTCCCAGCGGAGCTCAGCTCTAAACTCAACAAACTCTAAACTTGGACACTTCTGCTGCCATGCTTGTTTCTCTTGGCCTGAAGAGCCTTGAGCAAGAGAGCAGCTAACCTCATGCTCCTGGAAACTTCAGCTGATGGGATGATCTGTTTTTTAGCTACATGATTTTTCATCTGGGTTTAGAGAGGCTGAATCTGCAGATGCTTTTTTTTTTTCTTTCTAGTTTTTGTGGAGCGTTATTTGAAAAAGTGAAGAAGGGCCTGGTTGCTCACAGGAGAAGTGACGCATGCCGCTTTCGTTCTGATTCAGCGAACGACGGCAACAGCTGATGTTTCTGGGAGCAGAGCCAGTTTGGATCAAACCTAATATAAGCCGATATGCGGCAGTCGATCTGTGAGTCGACGCTTTACACTCAGCTCGCACGCTGACAACAAGTTGACGGACAGATCTGCTCCAAGGACACGGTGCAGAGAGTTGTTGCTCCACGGAGGCAGAACGCTGCTTGTGATGAAGAATCTGCTGCTTTTGTTATTTCTGACTTTCACCTCACTGAAGCTTTGTTCACTCGAACCCCAAGTCTGAATATTTCCAGCGAAGCTTCTGATCTTTCCCATTAATCACTCCTTAAGGCATGCAGCTAAAAACAGCCACATGTTTGGCTGCATAGCTTGTCAACATTGTAGCTAAATTAAACCTGAAGGGCACATCATGATGCTTCAGCAGCTGACGTCAAACCAACTTTTACTACAGCGTCCAATTCTTGTTTTATTATTGAACTACACAAGATGCATTTATTGATGTGTAGTTTTCTGTCTGTTAGCAAAATATCTCATGGACCACTTGGCGGACTTTAATAAAACACCCAGGAAGTAATCACTGGATGGACCTCTACAGCTGATTAACTTTAGGAGACAAGCTGATTCAAGATGGCAGCCACGTCTAGTCGACTTCCGCAAGCACAAAAATTGCTATAACACTGTAGGTTTTAAAAATATCGAGCTCAAATTTGGTGTTTGAGTAGCTGAGAGTCACCCCCAACACATACTCTGAGCACTCATGGATTGTTTGAGATTTTTGTTTAAAACTTAACAAAACGCGGCTTCAACATATGTTTTTAGATCTTAAAATGCTAGACCTTTCATTTTAATTGACCTCCAGTTCTTTTGCGATGGTCAATAAAGACTTTATATTATAGTAATAATATTAATTATAGTAATTAAATAAGTATTTATCTCTTTCTCCTGGCAGAAGCATAAAGCGTATGTCAACACACGATTACCTAAAACTTTATCACAAATATATTATATTAAATGTGTTCTGGGACCCAGTTTTCTCTTTTTTTGTATGTTTTTCATAAAAATGCTTAAATTTATAAACACTTTTGTAGCATTTTAGACAACTTTTTATAGAACAGAAGTTTGCTGGTTTTCAAAACTAACTGAGGCCGTAATTAACATTTAGTCGATTATTTTAGTTTATTTCATGAGGTTCATCAAAGCTTGTTTTTCAAATACATCCTTATAAAATTTAAACTGTTAGAAATATTGTATCCGTTCCTTTACAACAGAAATGTTTCATTAAAATTAAGATGATGACAGTCGTGCCTTTTTCAAGGTTTTACAAGCGACTCAAATTATTGGAGAGAACGCAAGAAAAGTACTAAATTCTTAAAGTACAGGGTTACTTTTGCATGTATGCATTATAAAATACACTATAACCTGACATTTTTTATTGAACACATCACATAGTTTTTAACTGTGAACTCATATCTTTTTCTTAGCTTAGTTAGCAGCACGTCTTCCAGAGCGAGATGAACCTAAAAAAGCAGTTTGTAACCTTTATCATCAGACCTTATTCCATTAAAAATGTACATTTCCTGAAAACTGCTGGGACTAAACAGTAAATTCCAGTAAATGGAAGGCTGATGGCAGAAAACTAAAACAGCAAGAAGATTATTATCCATTGATGCAGATTGCACAAAGTGTCAATAAAGAGATGAGATTCTGGATGTTGTTCTGATAAATTGAAGGTAAGATTGTGGTTGAAGTGGTTGAAACTGGTGTGAGGTCTGTACGGAGCTGACCATCAGCCTCTCTGGTATCTCTCGTCCACTTTGCTCTTGATCAACGCCCCAGAATTAATTTTGTGTTATTCATTTCCCACAGTTTTAAAGCTGATTGACAGACTCACTCTGTAACTGTTCTGTTCTCTCTCCTGAACCAAGTCTTTTGGTTTTCTTCCAGTTTTACTGTCACTTTTTCTGCACAAACTGGTTGGAAAATACATTTTAGTGATTATTTTCTGTGTTATATTGTTTTAATCACTGTAACGATTATAGTAGTCTCTCACTACTTCGCGGTTCGACTTACGCGGACTCGCTCATTTGCAGTTTTTCAAAATAAGATTGGACATTTCACACAATTAGCTGATTGATTGATGAGCCGCAGTATCGACATGGAAGTTTATTTAAAATACATTATTTCAAATTATTTAGCACCTGCTGCCCCTTTGTGCAGCCCATACTGCAGGATAAACTTCCTGCTGCAGCTGATCAGCTGTTCTCTGTGCAGAGCTGAGAAGTGGGCGTGGCCAAGAGCGCTTGCAGGTGGCAAAGAGCAGCGGAGTCAGGGAGCTGAAATCATGACAGTCTGTGCTCTTTTAGAGCGTTTAGAGTTAGAAACATTGTTTAGAATATTTCAAGAGTGTGGGAAGGGATTAAAACACGTTTTTATTTATATATATATATGTATATATATATACATATATATATATATATATAT